GGATAAACTAGTATAAAACTTTTAAAAAAAGAAGTAAAATACCCATACCACTTTCCCTAGAGTAATTGTCTTATATTTTATAATAACCTTTCATATAAACTAAGTGCACATTCACTTTAATAAATGATGCTAAATAGGTTTTCACATTATACTCCTACCAAAAATTTTGAGACTTATGGTATAGTACCATAATTTGCTCTAGGTAGATTGGTATTTACTAGTAGTAAAATAGAAACTTGTGTCTCTTACCGGTTTCGTCTTGCATTTTTCTAATTTTAACAGTCATGAAACCATTAGCCAAGAAACTAAGAAACATGTTGCATCTGCAAATCTGCTATCAAGGACTTCTTTAAAGTGCTAAAGCACAGGGATGTTACTTTAAAGACTAAGGTGAATTAGATCCAAGTCATGGTATTCTCACTTGCTTTGTATGCATGTAATAGTTACAAAATGAGTAAGGAAGACTGAAGAAGAATTGATACCTTTGAATTATGGTAGTGGGCGAGAGTATTGAATACACTATGGACTGCTAGAAGAATAAATCTGACCTAGAGAAAGTGCAGCCAGAATGCTCCTTATAGGAATAGTGGCATGCTATGTCACATACATACATATCCTGAGTAGAGGATGACTGGAAGAGTGCGGGCTTAGCAAAGGAAACTCAGATCTATGCTTTAGGATACCGATCTTAACCAGAAATAGTTAACAGGCTAAATAACCTAGAAAGATACCTTTTTTATTCAGACCTATGATATAGTGACTGGAGATATGGGGGTAGGTGTGTTGGAGACAGTAATATTGGCACAGGATAGAGCAGAGTTTAGGGCTGTCGTACACAGGGTCACTATGAGCCTCAGGTGACTTGATGGCACCTAACAACAACAACAACAAAAACATCCTGGTATAAATAGTTTTAGCAAAACTTAGGTGTTTTAATGGGGACTACTTCATGTTGGGAAAGATAGAAGATCACCGAAAAAGAGGAATACCCCCAGTTGATGCTACCATGGTGGGCATGAGCATGATGAAGATGGTGAGGATAGGGCAGAGTTCAGATCTGTTGTTCCTAGGGTCATTGGAATCATAGCTGACTTGATGGCACCTAACAACAACAACCACTAACATTTTACCAATTACAAATCTTACAAATGTGGTTTTCCATTGGATTGTTTTGACACCGTGTTTGCCTTTTCTAGTTATCAAATGCCTGTTGGAAAATCTTGAGGAAGAAGTAGCTCAGGCTGAGAATTCTCTGCTTCAGGCAGCAGCATCCTTTCCCATGTATGGGCGAGTGCACTGTGTCACGGCAGCTTTGGAGAAGTTATCCTTAAAGTAAGTGTGTCCGTAGATGACCTCTCAACACCCAGTGTTGTACTCTCACCTCTTAATAGATTATTTCTTGGGAAAGAAATACAGCTTATTGTGTTGTGATAGCACAAAATTACATGGGAAAAATATATGTGTGATCATAAATTGTCTAGATTTAGGAACTTTTTCATAAATAGCAAATATTCTTCTCTCGTTCCTTTATTACTTAATTTCTATTTTGATTATCAACCTGACATTTAATGTACTGTGCTATCTATCAGGACTCATTAATTTCTGTTTTGAAAAGTTGCTTTTTGCTTCTGGTGTAAGTCCTCTTCTATTTTTATTGCAGGAACCTGCAGCTGGTGAGTGAGTGGAGACTTGTGGTGCAGAAGCTCATCCTGTTGTCCTACCGGCTGTCTGCTGTGGTGTCTCCCGTCATTCAGAGCTCCTCCCCTGAGGGCCTCATCCCCATGGACACTGACTCAGGTTAGCATAGACGGAGGAGGAGAGTGACTTGATTGGATCATAGTATTTTCTTTCTCCCCACCCTTTAAAAAAAAAATTCCTTTGGAGAATTCAACAGGACGGCTTTTTTATAAGTCACAAGTTTTCCACCTTTGACAGCATGCAATCTTGACCACTTTTCTGTAGTTTATTTTAGTAGAAAATATTTAAGTTTTTCATCTTTGACAGTTTTCTTTATGTATTTAGTTTTTTGCACTTTTTTATGTACTTATTTTTTTTTATTAATTTTAATGAAAGTTTACAGAGACTTAGGGTTTCCCATCATTCATTGTTGCACTTTTCTCCCTGCCCATCCCCTCCCCTTCAATTCACTCTTCTCTTTGAAAAGTAAAAGAAAAACTCTTTCATAGTTATGTAGTACCACCCGCAAGTCCACTTCACTGTGCAGCCTTCATTCTGGACTCCTGTCATGACAATAATACCCAGTCATATATTCCTTTTAAACAGTTCTCTCTCTCATCTGTTTCAATGTAGTATACATCATTCCTCCCCTCCTTCTCTGCTTCCCTCAACCCCACTGTCAGTCCTGTTTTACAACAGTGGCCCTATGCAATATTTGTACTTTTGTGATTGAGATATTTCACTCAGTATAATGTCCTTTAGGGTCACCCATTTTGCATAATATTTCATGAGTTCCTTGTTTTTCAATGCTACATAGTATTTTATTGTGTGAGTATACCAGAGTTTCTCTAGCCATTCGTTTGTTGATGTGCATCTGAGTTGTTTCCAGCTCTTTACTATTGTGAACAAAGCCACAATAAACATGGGTATGCAGATATCTGCTTGGGTGGCGGTTATGGTTTCTTTAGAGTATATTCCCAGTAGTGGAATTACTGGGTCAAATGGTATCTCTATTTCCAGCTTTTTGAGAAAGCACCATACTGCCTTCCATAGTGATTGCACCATTTTCCACTCCTACCAAGAGTGAATGAGGGTTCCAGTTTCTCCACAACCTTTCCAGCATTTACTGTTTGCTGCTCTGTTGGATTTTGCTATTCTTACTGGGGTGAGATGATATCTCATAGTTGGTTTGATTTGCATCTCTCTTAGAGCTAGGGATTTTGAACATTTCTTCATGTGTGTGTTTGTCATCTGAATGTCTTCTTTGGTGAAGAGTCTGTTCATATCCTCTGCCCATTTTTCTATTGGATTATTTACCTTTATCTTGATGATGTGGCCAGTTTTTTCTTAATGTAGAGTCCATCTTTGTAAGGTTTTCCATTGTATTTCTGTCTTGTCAGCAGTATTGATTAACTGTTTAAAAATAGTCGGTCACAAGTATGCTACCTCCTTCTCTAATAGTCGGTCACAAGTATGCTACCTCCTCCTCTAGGTGAAGCAGGATGTTTTCATTGTTATTTTAGAACACAGATTGTTGTGTGAATACTGGCTAGGATATTGGGTAAAAGAAATTAGATGGGAAATTTGTGGAGCTCATTCAAGAGAGACTTGTTAGGATTTTTAAATGGGCAAAGACCATTTAATATAAAAAGACCAATGAATGGAAAAGGAAATTAGGATGAGATACTCAACATGCTCCAAACAGAGCTCATGCCTTTTCCCTCTGACTCCTGCCTCCCTGTGAGAGGTCTCATCGAAGGTCTAGTCATGGTGCTCCTAACTCTAATACTGCCCGATGTCTCCTCTCCTTTGCTCCTCATGTCTAGTCTGCCTACATGTTCTTTCAGTCTCTAAATAATCTTTGAATTTTTTAAAATAAAAATCTGTATCTTCCTACCCAGTATTCATGACTTATCTCCTTCCATTTCCTTCTCTGCCATCTTATCTAGTTATATAATTGATCACTTTTCATGTACTCTTTCCTTAACTCCTGTACTCTGGCCACCCTTCCCTATAACTTGTTTAGAACATTTCCATGATCTCCAACCAGGTCTTAGAATGGTTTGCTTCCTCCTGGTGCTTCAGTCTCTTAATTCTTCTCCCTTTACATGAAGCTTTACTCCAAGGAATTACAGTTTTACAACAATCCAGCTTGTGTTTTGCTCCTCATAGTGAGTATAGTGGTCTATTTGTATGAAACCATGCTGCAGTTCCAAAGGCATGCAGTTCAAATCCACCACTTGCTCCGTGGAAGAAGGATGAGCAGTCTCCTCCTGTGCGATTAATTGCTGCTGAAAACCCACTGGAGGGGCAGCTGTGGGTTACTTCTGACTTGATGGTACAGAACAATAACAACAGCAACAACTGAGAGTACTACCTGGTAGAAGTAGGTCACAATAAATGATAGTGAGCAAATAAGTGAAAGAAAAATTCCTATAATGATATAAACTCAATTCTTGGATGTCCAACTTGGATGTGGTAATTTCCAGTACTAAGACTGGCCCAGAGGAGATTAACTTTGAAAGTTCTATGCTAATGTGAGATTGTCCTGTATGCACAGAAAGTCATAATGTAAATTTCCATTATGTGTTGAAGTAACATTTATGAACACATAAGTAACGCTTATGAAGTAACAGAGATATATATTAAAACAAAATGAATATGTCATAAACACACATTGCACCGTACACTGTAATACCCTGAGTTGATTTGGTGACAGAGGATCCAGGAGCTCTTTCTACCATCGTTCTGTGCTGCCACAGTGGTGCACATGAATGTCTGGCTGATGCTGTCAAGAACATCAACAATGCCAAGACGAGAGACAAGATCCAGGTTCTTACCAGGTTCTGCTCCAAAGTCATGGTTCGCTTCCTAACAGTGATGATGAAGCATGGCTATGTTGGTGAGTTTGAAATCATTGACGACCACAGAGCAGGAAAAAACATTGCTGTCAACCTCATAGGCAGGTTAAACAAGTGTGATATATCAACCCCAGATTTGATGTACAACTCAGAGATCTAGAAAAGGGGCAGAATAAATCTCTCCCATCCAGTCAGGTTGGTTTCATCGTCCTGACAGCCTCAGCAGGTCTCATGGATCATGAGGAAGCAACACGAACACACATAGGAGGAACAATCCTGAGATTCTTTTTCTAGGAATGTAAATGCCTCAGTGCACAAAAAATAGTTACCTAGAGATGTGTGCTTTATATAGCAAATTAAGAATATATAGTCTGACTAAAAGTGGATCAAAATGTAAGTTTTGGCTCTTAATATTAAGATAGATTTATTTTTATTTATTTTGACTAAGGTTAGTGGAAGTTCCAAAATTTAATGCCTTAGTTTTTGAATTTAAACAGTGCATAGGAAGAAGGAACATCCATTTTTAAGTCTAAAATTTGGATCAGTATATTCGGGTGAGAAATATTGAATATTTTTGGCAGCTCTTGGGATTGGAACCAGTGAGACTCTCAGTGACCCAAACTAACCACCATCGAGCTGGATCTGACTCACTGCTGCCCCTCCAGCCATTTTCCGAAGCTGTGCATTGTGTGGGAGCAGGTTGCTTGCTTGTCTTCAGTGGAGCTGCTGGTGCGTTTGAACTCCTGGAGAGGCCTCACCTTTGGATTAGCAGCAACTCCCCGCCTCCAGAGCTCCAGAGCCTATGAAATGGCGAAAACAATTTCATTGGAAATTGTTAAGAAAGTGTTTTAAAAAACATCTGTTGATCTCAGAAACCACCCTTGGCTCACAGACTTTTCCTTAATTCTACCTTCTTTATTTTCTTCTTGGAGTTGTCTCCTTTCCCCCTCTGCTTTTCTCTAATGGCTTCATGGTAAGGGGTCATGCTGTCAGCCCAAAGGCAGGCAGTTCAAATCCACCATTCTCCTCATGTGTGATTTATTGTCTTTGAAAACCCACTGGAGGGTCAGCTATATTTCTCACAACATGATGACACAATAACAACTTTCCCTTTCCTATATTATCTGCTTGTATTCATAATTTCTTGACCTAAGTCCCCAGAGAGCCATGTATATGAACAAGTTTAGTTTGTAAAGTTTTATTCAAATTCTTACTTTCACCGCTTGGTCTTCCCATGGTTTCTTTTTGAGGCAGTGTTAGTTTTTCATGGCTGTTTGAGTTTGTTTCCTTTGGTAAAATCTCTGGGAATCTGTAAATTAACTTAAAATGTTGATTGAATTTTTAGGATAGCGTTTTGAGTATTTGTTTTTCTCATGAATGGTAATTTAAGGGTAAGTGTATATAGTAAGTATACTATATTTCTTTTTGGTTTTTTAACTGATTGCAGATGATTACTTGTTACTATTTTTGAGATGTCTGAGCCTGGCTAACTGTATTACCTAGCTGACTATTCATTCCTTCTGAACCTTTGCCATGAACCAGTTTCTGTTCTCGGCAGCAGTGGATAAACAAACAAAGTCTTGCATTCATGGAACTTGCATTTTTCCATCCAGTGGGTGCTTAGGGAATAGAAATGAAGCTTAATATAATACTAAGACTCTCAAATATACTTAGAAAGCAATGCATTACATAATATACTTCAAAGCCAAGTGTAAAGGTCTTTATCATATTCCTCAAGAGAAAAGATTGCTTTTATGTAGTTGGGATTTTTTTTTCCCTTCAAGCTCTCTTGCATTTTGCTTTTGAACCCCAATAAATTATGTTGCATGTAGAGACACAGTCTCCTCAAATAAAATTTACTGATGTTTATTGCTTTTTTTCGATTAAGTTCAGTGTTTGAGGTGCTTAGATGTCTAAGAAAGGCAGAGTAAATGAAATGGGCTTTGTACTGTGGATAGTTATAATTTTTGAGGGGCATTTTTGGTCACATCTTCAGTGGAAAATTGCCTTACTTGCATGTACACTGAAGAATTAGGAAGAAAATATATACTTTGACATTGTTTACCCTGCGTCCCTTTCAATAGGGTTATCAGCTACTAAAATTTACAAACTGCAAATACTCCCCAACATGTGATGGAACTAGGATCTCAGACACTCTCACTTCTCTTCCTCAGAGTCAGCAAACCGCTTACAGGTGATTTTGAATGAGATTCAGCCACGAGATACTAATGACTATTTCAGTCAAGCCAAAATATTGAAAGAATGTGATAGCTTTGACTTGGAGGACTTGAATGCTGCTATGCCAAATAGTGATACTTCTGTAGAAATCAAAGGTAAGAACTGTAAAATTGATATCATGATAGGTGTTTTAAGTGAAATACAAAATGCTCAAAACATCCTTTTTACAGATTTGAGGCTGCTCATCTGAGTTGAACATTTCTTGAAAATAAAGTTTTCTCTGCACTTAAAGCTTTTAGAAACAGTAATTTTTTAGTAGGGAGCACTGATGGTAAGGAGTTGCTCCAAGGTGGATCGTTTGAGTCCACCAGCTACTCTGTAGGAGAGTGAAGGCCAGTTTTTTTCCTGTACAATTTAGTCTCACCTAACTTTCTGATGGGCCGCCTCTGAGTAAGTTCTGACTGGATGGCAATGTACTATAGTCTCTTGGGGACTTATTTTATATTCTGCTATAACCTCCACTAGATGGGGATGTTGCTTTGTGAATAATGTCCCTTTTAGGCTAGTTTGTTTTTTTTCTCAGTTGCACAAAATAACATAAATATGTGCTTGTTGTAATAGCTGTAAACAATATGGAAGTAACTATAAATTAAAAGCACGATCCTGTTTCAAATGTACTCAGTCTCATTTTTTTAGAATATATTGTTTTTTTAAAAAAAGAATATATTGTTTTAAATATAGTCTGTGTTTACATCCTATATCATATATTCTTTTTTAACAGATTCTAATAGTTACTAAGTAGATATTACTAACAACTTTTTTGTGTGTGTGTGTACCATCAAATCGGCTCTGACTGGTACAGGAGGAGATTGCCCCTCCTTCTCCAACAGAGCATCTGGTGGATTCGAACTGCGTACCTCTGGGATTGCAGTACAGCTTCTTGCCACTAGGCCACCAGAAATCCCTTCTAACAACTTTTTTTAATTATATTAAATGAACATGTACATTTTATTAGTTAATGGAATTGGTTTTTTAACACATAAACAGGATTATAAATTATTGTTTTGTTGGCTTTTTAAATTTAGTACGATGTACTGGATATCATTTTTTCAGTTAGTATTAATAAATGTGTGCCTAAAGCTGTAAAACAAGAGTGAGGGCAATAACAGCTTATTAGTCATAGGATTTAAATATGTTTTAAAAGAGAATTTGTATTTTGATTTTGAATTTCAGTCTTGTCATGTTACTGGTTATGTGACAGCTACTATCATCAAAATAGACAGTGAAGTATATTTAATATTATCATATTATTACAGATTATTTGTTTCATTAATTATTAAGATTAATGTTAAGTTTTGAAAAATAGTTATGTTTTATTTTTAAATTGATTTTGAATGTTATATATGTAGCTTTATTTAGAATAATTTTAAAATTTATTTTGATAAATTATGTGTATAATTTATAGTGTAAAATTATATAGTGTGGTTTCTTCCAAAAGTATGTGCTCAACAAATGTTGATTGTTTTCTTCTGAATAAATAAAATGTATGACAAATGACAAATTGGTTTGCTCAAGCAGACTACTTTGGCGGAAATTTTGAATAAGATTCTTCCAAGAAACCTGGAATATACATATGCAAGACTGTTCAGAGTTGCAGTAGACTTTGTTTCTTTTTTTCTTTAAGGTAAAGAAGGAAAACCATGTGAGGTAACTGCTCAGATGGTGCTGGTGTGCTGTTGGAGAAGTCTGAAGGAAGTGGCTTTGCTTCTAGGCACCTTGTGCCAGCTCCTCCCGCTGCAGGCGGTGCCGGAATCTTCTGATGGACTGCTGACAGTGGAGCAGGTAGCGTGTAGTTCACCTGGCATATTTACTGGTTAAAGCATAAATCACAAGCTTTTATAGGTAATCCAACTTGAATAGAAAAAAGATTTTTAAATTTTTCTTATATAAAACCCTATAGCCAGAGATTGAAAAAAGATTTATGGTGGTCTAAGATTATAGCCTCTGTAGTGCATCTTAGAAGTATGGTGGTTGTTTGTTGTTGTGTACTGTCGAATCGGAGCTGATTCGTAGCTGACCCTCTGGTGGCTTTTCATTGGCAGTTAACCACACAGGAGGAGATTGCCTGTCTTTCTGGGGAGCCTCTGGTAGATTTGAACTGTGTGCCTTCAAGATTGTAGTGCAGTTTCTTGCCATTAGGCCACCAGAGTATACCAAAAGAATGGTAGTCTCAGAAATATTTTCATTTTTCTGACTAGATATGTAAATAGATTTTTCATGACTTTTAACTTCAATATTACTAGTTTAATTTCTGTTTCTTTTTAAACAGAGAAATTGAAATCTTAGCTAAAATTGTCTGCTTAGTAAAACTCCACAACCTCTTAATTTTTACAAAAGAAATAAAAGCATGATTATAAATCCTGTATTTCCCACTACTTCAATATTAAAGTTGTTGTCAGATTCCTTTGGCTGACTTTTATTTTCAGACCACAAAGTTAGTTCACCATCTGTGACTGTTCAAGTGACTTGACTGCATGTTTACAAGAAATTAGCTTACCACAAGCATTTCATTTGGAAATATTTTAGATTTATTAGATTTCTGCTTTTAATTGATTCCTTCTTCCTTTCCATATGGTTTCAACAAATGCATTTCCCACCATTTTCCAGCAAAGCTATATACCATGTACTTTCATTTTTAACCTTTTCAAATAAAGGTAATTTTCCCCTTCGGGTGTTACAGCATTCAAGAACAAAATAAATATTGTAGGATTCTGATGCTGATTATTTCTGTAGCAACCACATGACTGGTGCCATGGAAATAATGTGAACATTTTTATTCTCACACTCTCTGTGACTCTTATGCTTCCATCTGGTTAACAGCTGGCCTTGTAATGTTGCAAGGGCCCAAGATGGGGAAAGGCAAAGGAGAAGAGTACACGGCTGGCATTATTATGTTCCTTGTTCTCTTCCAAATAAAATAGGCATTAGTCTCTTAGCATTGCTTGCAGTCATTGCTGGTGGCTGGCTACAATGCCAATGCCAACATCTTTACTGAGGAATCCAGCTGTGATGAATGCTTACTTCACTGATGTTCGCCATCTTGCTGAGAAGTAAACATGTGTTAACTCAAGTCCCTTGGCTTCCCAACTTTTCTTCCCAAGGACAAGTTAAAGCATCTAGTTTTTTGTTTTGTTTGTTGGACAGTGCTTAAAAAAATTAAGAGAAAAAGAAAAAATAGTTTGCTTTTAGTGTATCTGAAGAAGACCTGAAAGCTTCCTCTAAAAATAGCTTTCCTTGACACTTTTTACATAGCATCCAACTGTTAGGAGTTTTATTTTTATGGGATAAACATTTTTAAATTGGGAAAAGAAGAGATTTTTTTGGGGGAAAAAAAAAAAACCCAAACCAAAAAACTAAATACGAACAACAATAAAAAGAGGTATAGAAGCCAAATAATTTTTCTAATGGCATTTTTCTTAGAAAATAGAAACTTGACTTCTATTTTTGGTAAAATAATAGTTTTCATTCTATTGAGGTCCAATTCATTTTTTCCCTTTGGCAGGTCATGTGATGTCTTCACAAACATAGATGTGAGAAGTGACCAAATGATCAGGAATATACATAATGACATTGGTTTTACATTGTAACTCTGTGTTCCTGAAAACATCATGCTTGATCTTGATGCAGTTTAGGGACACTTAAGCCATGAAAAATGGGTCCTAGTAGCACAGAGATTAAAGAACTCAGCTGCTAACCAAAAGACGCGTGGTTCAAACTTATTAGCCCCACTGCTTAGAAGAAAAGTGTGTTAAGTCTGCTTCCATAAAAGTGAAAGAGTATAGTTTTTGAAACCTTTTGTGATTTGAATTCAACTCAGTGATAGTGTTTTTTTGTTTGTTGCTTTTATTTTTTTGATTTTTTATGAGAATCTAGAGTTGGCAAGAAATTCTTGTTAGTCACCTTAATAGAGGAGTTCTGTTTTTAATAATGAAATTTTCCTCAACAGAATTACTTAATTAGAATTGTTGCTGTGTGCTGTCAAGCTGACTACAACTCGTAGTGACCCTGAATATCCCCATGTAAAGAAACTTTTTAAAATTAAAAGTATAAATGATAGAAAAGAATGATATTTAAATGGTTGGGTCGTGCCTAAGGTATATTCTTCCATTTTGAGACATAATCTCTATTGGCAATACTAGATCTTCTGTACTCCTACTATTATTGTGTACCATCGAGTCAGAGTGGACTCATAGCTGACCCTCCATTGGGTTTTCGGAGACAGTAAATCACATGGGAGGAAATTGTCCATCCTCCCACATGCCTGTGGGATTTCAGCGCAGTTTCTTACCACTAGGACAGCAGTTAACAGCTAGCACTTCCTGCCTAGCTGTAAAGCTACTGGTTTGATTAATAGTCAGCATTGTAGGTGAATGTAACTACAACAGCCTTACAGAGACAGTGAAGTGACTTGTAAATGGATTGCTCTTAGCTATTTACTAAAAGATTAATAGTTTGAAACCACTCCACAGAGGAAAGACCTAGTAATTAGCTTCCATAAAAAGAATTTTGTTGTTTATTCTCTTCAAGTAGATTCCAGCTCATGGTTGACCCCAGCAAAAACATTACAGCCAACAAGGCTCTCTAGATCAGTTCTGCTAACACATGACGTACTGGAGGATATAGAATTTGCAGTTCTTATTCCCAGAAATAAGAATAAAATCCAGGAGCTACTTTTCTGCCTGTGCAGGAGGGAAGCTGTTCACACAGTCTGAAATATGAAAGCCCATCCTGATGCTTCTCAATCAATTCATCCTTTGCTCTTAAAAATGTAACATGATTCTGTTCTAATTTAAAACTAAGAACTGGAATGTAGAAAATGGAGATTTGTCACCTAATTATTCTTTAAGCCCATCCTCATCTTCTAATCTTTCATTTAAGGGGGTATTCACATAAATGCTACATATTGTTGGGTTCTGTGACTCATCGTGACTCTGTGCAGAGTGAACAGAAACACTGCCCACTTCTGTGCCATCCTCATTGCTGCTGTGCTAAACCCAGTGTATCAGTCCATCTCTTGGAGGGACTTCCTCTTTTTTTGCTAACCCTCTGCTTCACCAAGCATGATAGCCATCTTTAGGAAGTGGTCATTCCTGTTGACGTAGCCACAGAACAAGAGATGAGGTTTACTAGTCCCTGTTTGTGAGGAGTTTTGTTTTCTTTATGTCAGGGTATAATCCATACTGAAGGCAGTAATCTTTGATCTTAATCACCAAGTGCTTCAGGTCCTCTTTGCTTTGAGCGTGCAGGGTTGTATCATCTGCATATCTCCAGTTCTTAGTAAGTCTTTCTCTAATTTTGGTGCCATATTTTTCTTGATATAGTCCCATTTCTTAGACTAATTTCCAGGATGTAGGCTGAATAAATACAGTGAAAGGATACAACTTTGGTGCACACCTTTCTTGATTTGACACCATGCAGTATCCCTTTGTTCTATTAAACCTGTACAGGTTCCACATGAGCACAATGAAATGTTCTGGAACATTCCTTGCAAAATTTTCCATAATTTGTTAGGATCTACATTGTTGATTGCCTTTGCATACTCAATAAAACACCAGTAAACAACTTCCTATGTATATGTGTTGCCTGCTGAAATGCAGTGAATTTTTGTTGCTGTGTTCATTTCTAATGCTAGGTTGTCAGTACTGTATTCAAGAATTAGAACTAGAGGAATTACTGAGATTGTCCTGTTTATTTCTCATGTATGCAAAGAAACAGAAGGCCCTGGATGCTTTGCCCAAGCTCACAGCACTGGTTCGCGGCAGCTTTGGGACTGAAGCTCAGTTTTCTCCTCGGTCTGTATTGTGACATGGCGCTACTTGCTTTATTCTGAACTACCTGTTTAATTTTTTTTTTTAAGTTCAATTTTTCCTCCTTTTGGTACCCAGCCATATTCTTGCAAGTAGCAGGACAGTAAGGCAACTTGCTAATGACCTTTTTCGCTAACATCACATTTCCTTAGATCACTTCTTGTGAGTAGAGTGCCCTCACAGGCTTCACCAAGTGAAGCTGTGTCAGTTCTGAGGCATGTTTGACTTCGTCCTTTTCAGTAATCACATGTGGAAAGGTTCTTTCATAATGCCCTGTGTTAAAGGCAGAGAGAGATAAAGCCAACCTTGAGGGCTTTAAGTTGAGACCCTTAAAGAGTAAGCAATGCATGCATCTTTATGTCAACAGCTTCCTGACTGGTGCATATCTGAGTATCAAGCTTGAGATTTTGATGTTGTAGACCTTTTGCTAGATACATTTTGTTGGTCCCCCCTCAATAACTGATAGCCCATGCCTACAGATTTTTTGAAATTGTGTTCTCTACCTAGTGTATTTATTGATATGTTTTTCCTAATACTTTTAAAAAGAAGCGTTTGGGTAGAATGTTCATGCCTCTTTTCCTCAAGCTAAGAAAACTGCTCTCGTAGTTTGTAGTATATTGGCTGTGAGCTGAAAGGCCAGCAGTTAACAATCTCTGAGCTGCTCTGAGAAAGAACGATGAGTGCTCTTGTCTCGTAAAGATGTTTACAAGCCTTGAAATCCTGGTGGAGGGTTGCTGTGAATTGGAATCAACAGATGGCAGTAAATTTGGTTTGCTTTGGGTCTCCTTTCTAGTAATTATTACTGTGGAAGCTACATGAATTTTTAAAAAAAAGGTTGGATATTAAAAATGAATAGTTTTCTTATTCCTAATTTAGATTTTTTGGTATTGTTCATGATGCATATGGCTAATGAGGTTTGTACATTCTTTCTGTGCCTTTAGTTACTGTTTGAGATTTCCTAGAATGAATGCCTCACATACTTTGGACATACTGCTATGAGGAGCTATTCCTTGGAGAGGGACATGGAAGGGTGGAGGGTCTGCAAAGGAAAAGAAAATGCTGAACCAGGTGGATTGATGCGTTGACTGCTGCAGTGGGCTCTTGTGTGTCAGGATGGCACAGGCTACAGCAGGGTTCAGATCTATTGTTCATAGGGTTGCTATGAGTCATACTCGATGGCACCAAATAACAACAACAACAACATAATGAGCTACAGGCTATAATGTGCATTCATAAGTCTTGAAGAAATTGCCTTTTTTCTTTTACCAATATTCTTTCAGAAATTATGACTTAGACAAGTTACCACTTTAAGCTGTTAATGAAGTTGCACATGTAATCCCATCAGAGTCACTTATTTATTGACTTTCCTAGTACTCGGGTGTTATGGGATATAAAGAAGTACAAAATGGTTCTCAGACGTCAAAAACATTAAAAACCCTATAGAGGATATAAGGCAGAAATGAATTTTAAAGACTAAAGAACACAGTCAAAATAGTAAATGGTTAAGAATTTGCTATACATAAGAGAGTAGACATTCTGGTAACAAGACTTCTGAATACCAGAAAATGAAAACATTTGTTGTCACGGTATGGGACAATAATACTTGGGCTTGTATGAGATCTCAAGTGTTAGTGAAAAAGTCTCCAAAGCATCCAGACTAAGACAGACTAGGAATAAAGGCCTGGTGGTTTACTACTATGGAAAATTAGCCAATGGAAACATTATGCAGCACAGCTATCTAACTCCTGTTATGCAGAGTCCTCATGAGCTGACTTACTCAAGTGTAGCTACTATGGCAGTAGCCACAACAACAAAATCTGTTGTTAGCTGGTCAGTTCTGACTCAGCAACACTCTAAGACACCACCTTTCTCGTAGTTTGAATCCACCAGCTGCTCTGTAGAGAAAGAGGAACAATCTCCTTCTGTCTCATTTTTAGCTTCCAAACCCCTGCTTGAAGGTTAGTTACGTGAGTTAATTCCAATTATGGCAATGAGTCAATTGAGAAAAGATAGTCATTTCTCATAGGCTTAGGTGTGTTAAGAGCAACAACTTTTCGTGATTTGCTTACGGTGGGAACTGACATGAATTATATTCTATAGAGAGGTGTCCTTTAAGCTGGCACCTCACAGTTCTGGTGTAGCTGTTAAAAGCAGTCTACTGTAGAGCCATTTTGCCTGCATGTGTGTGCTGATTGCTGTTTATTTGAGGAATGACTTTCTATACGATCCTTAGCCTTATTTAGGCCTCATTTTGCCCATTTGTAAAGTGAGTTTAATAAAAGTACTTACACCTACTGCATGAGATTGTTGTAAGGATCAGTGAGAAATTGCTTTTAACTGTGCCTTTTACATACTAATTGCTAAATGGACAGACATCTGGACCTAGGTTCTGAATGATACACTAATACAATATAACCAATAAATGTATGTGTATCTTGATCATTTACTTTTCTCTCCCTGAAGGTAAAAGACATAGGAGATTACTTTAAACAACACCTTTTACAATCCAGACACAGAGGAGCGTTTGAACTGGCTTACACTGGCTTTGTGAAACTCACCGAAATACTAACCAGGTAAAACTAAACAAATACCATTTCGTACAGTGTACAAACCATGTGCTTGAAGTGTCTCTTTTGATCTTTTAAAGAGTATGACTTCAGTTGGCTCCAGAACTCTTAAAAGACATTGTTTTCTTAGATTTCATTGTGTGAGTTACTGCAGATGATTGAGTGAAATGTCCACACCAAATGCTCCCTCATTGAAAGGTGGTTTGAAGCAAACACAAAGATTTTGCTAAAAATAACTTTGGAATTACAACTTCTTTTCATAGAGTGAAAGAGATGTTTTGTCTATTTGAAAATTGCTAGCATTTAGAATAAAATACTCTCTCCAGCCCATTTTTGATATGTGCATATTACAGACAGAAGCACTTTAACAACTTGTGTTTTCCTTCATAATTTTATTTTAGAGAAAAAAAATGGGAGGAACAGCAAATAGACCAAAAAAAATACAAGAGTTTTTCTCACCAGGCTTATGTAGAAATGTTTCAATTTTATATATTTAGCTAATGTATTACTATTGTTACATTTTTAGACATCTTAGGTGCTGATAATTTCATTCATTCATATGGTAGCTTTCCTTTTAAAAGTTTGTGAGGAAACCTTAAATTACTTAATGACTAAGTATTCATGGCAAGTGTTCTCTAAATAAAATGTAGTATTTTCCAGGAAAACATTTCCATTGCCTGGAAACTTTTGAAATGAAGCGGAGTTCTGCCAGCCTTGTGGCCTTCGCAAACATTTTATTTTGGGCTGAGAAGACATCTACTCCCTGAATATTTTTGAAACACTTTTTTCACACTCCTGGTACAAACATTTATAAAACATTCTGGCAGTTATACTCTAAAAATGTCTGTAACATTAACCTGCTATTATTGAAAGTATTTTGTTATCTTTTTATTTGTTTCTAGTGTAGACATGGCTTATGAACTTTTTTTTTAAACGTATTTCAAATCAATAAGCTATATATTGAACATTGACTCTGTGCTTTGTATTTTCTCTGGTTTGGAGGGTATAGTACTTTTTTATAAGACATAACTCCTGTTCCTAAAAACCTTAAGATTTAATTTGGGGGAAAAAGTAGGTTTGAAATGACAACTATTTAACTGGTGTGGTCACTGACTCGTCAGAACATACATTGCAAGCAGCCAGTGTCACTGTATTTATAGGATACGTGTGGGTACAATACCAACTAGAAAGTAAGACCAACACTCTTGAAAGAAAGTAAGTAATCCAGCAAAATTAATTGCCAAATTTTGGGTGAAATGTACTAGTTCTGTGGGAACAACACAGAGAAAACAACAAGAATATGTGGTAGGATTTCATGGAGGAGGTAGAATTTATGTGAATGAATGGTTAAGGTTTAAGTGGCTGGAGGGGAAAAGGAGGGCATTTTTGTTAGCGAATGCTCAAAGGCTATAGAAATGATGTGTAGGTGTATAGTTAGGGAGGGAGGTCTGGTGGCTTAGTATAAGGAACTGCACTGCCAACCCACAAGGCTTGCGATTCCAATCCACGATTTGCTTGCTGCAAGATAGAAAGATGGGAAATCACCTCCCACGTGACTTACTGCCTCTGAATACCTGCTGGAGGGTCAGCTATGAGTTGGTTTCTACTCAACAATATTTAACAGCAAGAACAACAGCAACACTATAGCTAGGGGAACAAGAAAGCAGCCAGATCATAGTAAATTGGAGCTTATTAGGAAATACTGTACAACTGGAAAATTTTGGAGTTTTTTGAAAGTTGATATACTGTAGGAGGGTTGGAGAGATGCACAGAAACTTTTGGTCTAAAAAACCTTATGGCAGACATCATAGAATAGAGTAGCAGCAATAATCTCTTGATCTATTAACCTTGATTTTATTTACTGACAGTGAGGTTATACAGACTTTATTTATTTAGTCCTTGGTTTCATCATCTCTACAGTTTGAAAAAGAATATTTGTTCTATGTGGTGTGTTTTGTTATTTTTTTTTTTAATTGTATGGATCAAATAAATAGAAAATCCTACAAATTTTAAAGGCATTGTACCTTTAAATTTGGTTGTGGGGTTGGAATATAAAAGCAAATTTTAGCTTGGTGCTAGATTAAATATTCTGTAATGACAAATGGTAGTGAAGAGTGTCTGGAACTAGTTATGACAATGTAGATTGGAAATGAGAACTTCCTCTGTGATGATGATTCTGGGGATGGAAAGAAAGGAGTGGTGTCAGACTTGACATTTGACCTCAAGAAGTAACCACTCCCACACAGGATGTGTTAGCTTCTTAGAAGCTATAGACATACTACTGCATTTAATGATTTTGCATGCTAAGATTTAGCACAGGCAGAGGTGGGTGATTCTTCTCTTGATGGAATTAACTAAGGTCATTTGGTGACATTCAGCTGGCAGATGGACTGGCCAGGAAAATACACAGTTGGCACACTAGTGGAGATAGTTGTAAGGCTGGGCACCTCTGTAAATTGTGGGACCTACAATGTGGCTTCTCTAGAGTTTCAGAGTAGTTGAACTTACTTGGAAGTTGGCTTCTTCTCTTCTCCCAGATGGCATATTGCAAAAGAATAAAGCTGAAATTGCATGATCTTTTCTGACTTGACCTTGGAAGGCTGATAGTATTGCTTAAGTCATGTTTCTTCAGTTCCATATGAATCATAAATAAATTGAAGGAGTAAAGAATTAGGCTACACCTTTTGATAAGGCAGTTCAGTGATCATATAGTAGAAATGCATGTAGGGAGAGTTGTACTCATCAGAGAAAAATAGCTTCTGCTGCATGAATCAGCTAAATGTGTGGGGGCAATTGCGTCACCTGGGAATCCAAGGTTGCTCCTGAAAATGAAGTGGAATAAGTAAAGCCAAGGAAATGGAAAGAAAGATTATGTTGATAAGAATAAATGAGTTTTCTTTGAGTGGACAGTGGTGTATCAATGTGGACATATTCTAGTCAGAAATTGTACAAGAGTGTTGGGTGCCGTAACAGAAACAGAGGGAGATTTGTGTATCTTTTTCCATAAACATCTGCTTTAGGAGGATTGCAGACTTAAGTCAAATGGTAAAGTTGAAGACATACACCTAAATGAGATGGGGAGGGTTGTTAGGTAAGGCCCAGTGTTAGTGTCACAGCCCTCTGCCAATCTGCTTTAAAGATCTCCTCCTGGCTGTCAGGATTGGCTGTTAACCAATCTGTTAGGAGTTTTCAACTCTATTTCCAGACCAAGTGGTTCTTGATCCTGCTGGAGACATCAATTTCCAATCCGTTTAGCAGAATGTTTTGTGTGAACATCTTTTAAAGTGTGTGTAGCTTCCTTTTGTTTGGCTTTTGCTTTTAAAATAATTTGTTTCATTTGGACTCCTTTTGAGAGCTTTTTTTGAGTCCTTAAGTTATGAAAAAGTTGTTTAGGCACTGAATATTTTAAAAGTTTGGGAAAAGAAATTTGAGAGTACATGAAAAGTCAGTGAAATGAAGGCCAACTGCTGGTCACCTCTTAAACTACAACTGTGTTAAGGAAGGAAGCACTTACTGAGATGAATGGATAAACAACTGGGGAGTTAAACATGAACCACATTTGTTTGCATTAATTTTTCATAGGATTATTCAAAATATCTTAAAATGTAAACCAACTTCACTACTGAAAAATCATTGAAGAATACATAGGAATGGGAGACACTATTCATTTTTTAGCAGTATCTTTTTTTTCTGATAGATTCTTTTTTTAAAATAATTATTATTAAATTTTATTAGTTTTAATGAACATTTACAGAGATTTTGGGTTCTCATCATTCATTGTTGCACTGTTTTCTCTACCCTCCCCACAAGTTTGTTCTTCTTACCCCGCCCCCCGAATGTCTGTTTTAATTGTCCAGTTGCCACAGGGCTTGTCAAAGCCAGTTCTGATTAATCTCCTTTGTCAGTGTGTCCTTTGCTATTCCCTGTCACTCTTCCCTGAGAGATACTTCACCCTGATTCATAAGGAAAAGGGGATGGCGTATTCTCTTAGCTACTTCCTGCTGAAAAGGGACGCTGTGGGTTTCAGGGTAAAGATCTTCTCTCACTACTCTAAAGGGCCCCTTTGGCAGTAGGAAACACATAGACTATTATGGAGATTGATTTTGGAATTTAGATGCACTGTCATTAATTGTGCTTAGCCGTACATATTCATATCCTTGAAGATGTATGATGGAGGTGTTGCAACCTAGAAGACACAAATTTAACTAACAAGTTAAAAGTACATGAGTCAAAAATTAACAAGCAATAATATTCCGAGTAGAGGTTCTAGTATTGGCACAAATCAAGTTACAGAGGGAAAGTGGTTCTTATAATAAAAGGCCTATAGACTAGCATTTTGTCTATTATAGTGTACAGATTAGGAACCACAAGATGTTGAGGCTCAGCTATGTCATTTATGGTTCTTAAGTCCTGGAGCAAATTCCATCTACCACTGGGCTGTTCTACAACTCGGAAGTTCACATGCAGGGTAGAGGTGAAGTAAGGAACTGCTTATGAGGTTTCCCGTCCATTCCAACAACTAAGAGATAGTGAGAAGAGTTGGGACCTCAGAAGGCTTTTAGGACCAATTAGTAGGCTCTGTGTCCAGGAGAAAATGAATATACTTACCAGTAATGTTAATGCTCATCCATGGCTCTTCTGGGAAGCAGTATCTTTTGAAAGCAACACTTACATACAGACCAACAGTAGGATGAGTTAATTTTCTAAAATCTTATTTTCTTATATAGTGGTTTCTAGTTAGAATTTTATCAAAGATTCTTACTAATTTAAAAATCATGTGTTTTAAGTATTTTATTTAAGTGCTCTAAGGTTATAAAACTCTTAATGCAAGGATTCTTTAGAGGGTAGAGGCAAACCATTTTATTGAAGAGGTTTTTTTGGGGGTGAGGGGGCGGTGGAGGTAAAGAGCTAAGGAAAGTGAAGTCTAGTTACCTCAATATGCCCGGGATCTCCTGGACCAGACAGCTGTTGACTAAATCCAAGTTTTTATGAAATTTGTAATTTCT